ACTGCCCGTACGATGCCGCCCCTTGGAACGGGTTTCTATCCCGTGTTTCGCCGCTAATGGCAGTTCGCTGGACATTATCGGGCAAATTCGGGCGCAAATTTCGATTGTAGACATTAAATTAGCAAGGCCTATTTTGGTCTCTTCCCTCGCCGTGCCGTGTTTGTTAGGCACTGATTTTCTCGCGAAAATGCCTATTAAGATCCTTGTAGATCAAGGCTGCATCGAACTCCCGTCGGGTCGACGGATGGCGTTCTTGCCCACACCCTCACATCCGCGCATGGCTAATGCCTCGGTGCAGGCGTTTGTCGCGAGCACAGTCCGCATTCCGGCAGGGACACAAATGCTCGTGCCCTTGCAACTTAAAAAACCGCTAGCCCCGGAGGCCTCGGCACATGGCATTTTGCTGGGGCCTTCAAACGCAGCTGCTAAGGGGTTAGATTTGGTGGCTGCACAGACCCTCGTAGCAGCCGACAAGGAGCCGTTCTTGCAGGTTTTGAATGTCGGATTGTCCACAACCGTCATTCCGCAAGGAACTGTGCTCGCTCACGCGACTCCGGTGCCGTTGGGGACCGGAGTCGCGGGACACGTGCATGACACGGCGCAGGTCCCACCTCCTTCCGAATCGAATGAGAGATGGTTGGTCGTGCTCTGCACAGACACGGGTGTTCTGTCTCATTCGCAGCGAATTAAATTGCGTGCTCTTCTGCGAGAATTTTCCGATGTCTTCAGTAAATCTAAATTTGATATTGGCTGCACCAAGCTGCTGCGTCACCACATTGATACCGGTGACGCTGCCCCGATTCGACAAAACCCGTTTCAGCTTAGCCCGGCGGAGAAACAGCATGTTAAATCGGCTGTGGATGACAAGCTGGAGGCCGATATAATTTCTCCCTCCACTAGTCCCTGGGGTGCTCCAATAGTGCTGGTCAAAAAGCACGATGGCAGTCTCCGTTTTTGCGTTGATTTTCGGCGCCTAAATAAAATGTTGGTAGCGGACGCCTACCCTCTCCCTCGTATGGACGAGTCATTGGATGCCCTGGCAGGGGCGCACTATTTCTCCACCTTGGACCTTCTGTCGGGGTTTTGGCAACTCCCCCTCGACGAAGCGTCAAAACCTAAGACTGCTTTTCGGACACCACAGGGCCTTTTCGAGTTTAATAGATTGCCCATGGGTCTCCACTCGGCCCCAGCGACGTTCCAGAGGCTCATGGAGCTGGTCCTCGCTGGGCTCCAGTGGGACTCATGTCTCATTTATCTTGACGACGTCATCGTCTTTAGCCGCACGTTCGGCGAACACATCGAACGGTTACGTGCTGTCTTCTTGAAAATGCGGGCCGCTAACTTGAAATTCAAGCCGCAGAAGTGTCACCTTCTGTGTGAGTCTGTGCGCTATCTGGGCCACATAGTTAGCCGCTCGGGCATCTCTACCGACCCTGAAAAAACCAAATGTGTTCAACATTGGCTGACCCCTACATCTGCGGGCGATGTTCGTAGTTTTATTGGTTTTGCGTCGTACTATCGCCGGTTTGTTGCTGGCTTCGCGACGATTGCCAAGCCGCTCCACGCCCTTACGTCAAAAGGGGTGGCGTTTCATTGGGGGGACGCAGAACGGGCCGCGTTCGACTCCTTGCGGAACGCGCTCGTGACGGCACCGTCCCTTGCGTACCCCGATTTTTCTGTGCCACTCGTGTTGGACACCGACGCAAGCAATACGGGGATTGGGGGTGTTCTGTCCCAAAAAGTTGATGGCATTGAAAGGGTTGTTGCCTATGGTAGCAGAGTCTTGTCTCTTGCTAAACAAAGATACTATGTGACCAGACGTGAGCTGCTGGCCATTGTTTTTTTTATTCAGCAATACAGGCCGTACCTGTATGGTCAACATTTTACCGTGCGATCTGATCATTCGGCTTTACAGTACGCTCTGCGGGTTGACTAACCGTCCGGGCAGCTTTCTCGGTGGCTCGAAGTCCTTCAGGACTACGATTTCAATGTCACTTACCGTAGGGGTGCACAACACACGAATGCCGATGCGTTGTCTCGCCTCCCGCCGGCTCAAAAATGTGCGTGCTTTTTGGGCTCGGGCCGTTGTAAGCCGCCACTGCCTGCGCAGGTCGCGCCTCTCACAACGGTGTCAGCCGCACTTCCTGCCGCCTCAGCGCCGATGTTGGATCATGCAGATCCAATGGCCAGTGATGATTTGCTGGGGATAACTTTGGCCGAATGGGGTCGGCACCAGAGCGATGACATGTCGTTACTGAGGTTGCGTCGCCACGCGAATAATGCGGCTCCAAGACAGGGCAAATTTAATTCATTCGTCATGAAGCACGGCTTGTTGATGCATTGGGATGCTGACTCGTGTCAACATAAAATCGTCGTGCCGTCCGCCTTGCGATGCCAAGCCGTATGGGCGGAGCATGAGCGTTTATTACACCTGGGTGTTCATAAGACCATTGGGTTGTTGTGGTTGCAATTTTTCTGGCCGGGCATGCTGCGCGACATCACTGACATTTTGCTGGGATGCACCCATTTTGCGCAACGTAAACCGCCGGCTAAACCGGCATGTCCACCCCTGCAAACCATTTCGGTCTCTCGTATAAATGAGTTGGTGGCTCTCGATATTTTGGACCCTTTTCCTACTACGCCACGGGGTAATAAGTCCCTTCTGGTTGGGGTAGAGTATTTTACACGGTGGCCTATGGCCTGGGCCCTCCCCAACCAGTCGGCGGCGGCCGTTCTGGACGCCTTTGTTCAGGGCTACGTCCTGGACAAGGGCGCACCAGAATGGTTGCTGACCGATCAGGGAAGAAATTTTTCGGGAGCCTTGCTGAATGATGTGTGCCGCCTGTTGGGCACTAAGAAAGTGCGCACTTCGCCCTACCATCCCCAGACCGACGGCATGGTGGAGCGCCTTCATAGAACTCTCACCGCTATGTTATGCCATCAGGTCGATGAATCCCACCTCGATTGGGACTTGCAGGTTCCGGGGGTCCTCGCCGCATACCGTATGGCACCTCACGCGGCGACGGGATTTTCCCCGTTCTTTCTAATTTACGGCAGGGATGCCTTTCCTCCCACCGATGTTCGGCTGGAAATCGAACAGCCACCGCAAAAGTCAAAGCTCGTTGACCACTTGCGATTCAACCTCCGGAAGTTGGCCGAGGCACGGGAGGCCGACATTGAAAATTCGGCTTCCCGCAAAACGGGCGAATTTGCGACTGCGTGACCCTCGGACGTACACGCATCGGTGGGCACCGGGAGACAGGACATGGCTCCACTGTCCCCAGGTGCTGGTGTCCAAGTTGGCCAAACTCCTCAGACCATGGCGAGGCCCGGTTGAGGTAGTGGAAGTCCTGCGTCCCCAATGTGTTAAAATTCGCTGGGGATGGCGTCGCTGGTGCGTTCACCCCTCTCGGCTGAAACCCTTCATCACGCCACGCGTCCCTCCACAACACACACGACACGGGGGCCGAGTGTGCAAAGCATCCGACGAGCCAGATGTTGCCCCGTTGGTGCCTAACCCACAGCGCAGGCGTGTCATTCCTCCTGCAGATGACGCGGGAGTGATGGCTCCATGCAGGCCACGTTCGGCCTCAATGGACCGTGGAGCAGCAGGAGTCCCCGTGGAGATGCCTAAAGGGCCACCAGATGCTCTGGCTCATCCTCCTCCTTCCCTTGTGCCGCCGACAAAGCCTGCCATCCCCTACGATGGTCCCGCGAAACACACGCGCGCGAAATCTCGCCGGTTGTTATGTTTTTTTGGCATGTCTAGTGCCTTGTACATACGTTATGTTGTTAAGGGGGGTATTTATAGGGGTTTTATTGTTCTTGTTCTTGTTGTTCGTGAGTCACACTCACAATTCTTCTACCGTTGGTAATTTCGGAGTTTCTCATTGTTGCAGCCGGGACGGCTGGAGCTTCCGAAGGAGGTGATGTAGAGGTGTTAACTACGCGCTGTTGCGTAACCTGCATTGCCACCAGGGCAGTGCAGCATTACCCCTGGGTACAACGGTTGGGGTCAGTCGAGGTGAAACGGATCGTGGCCAGGGTTTGGTACGAACCAATCAGACGGTTCCACGTGGGAATGTATGATTGGTTCTACCTGGCCACGAAGGAGTATAAGACGGGTGACCCAACGGACATCGGGGAGTTCTCTCCCGGCACGAAGACTGGGCTGAAGCCTAGCTAGGACCCTGGACCAGCCTCCCAGCCCTTCTAAGGGCTAAGGCTCGGCATACCCAGCGGTCAGGACCCACCGGGCCAGCGGTGGGTCAGATAGCCTCCCCTAGGTCCTAGCCGGAGGACTAGGATAGCGGTAGACGTGTGAGTCCCACCAAGTCCGGAGGTTGTACCTCCTTAGGTATCAAGGTTAGCGGTAGACGTGTGAGTCCCGCCAGGTCCGGAGGCTGTACCTCCCTAGGGTATCGGGTGAGGGGACCGAATATCCCTCTGTGTGTTAAGCGTTGTATAAGGAAATAATACAATAAACAGAGTGTGCCTCCTAAAGAAGTCTGCTCGTCCTTACAACACTACACTTGGAAGCCCGGGGACAAGGCTTGGTTGCACTGCCCTCAAGTGCCGTTGACAACCTCGGCAAAATTGTTGCGGCCATGGAGGGGTCCGGTGGTAATTGTACAAGTCATGCGGCCACAATATATCCGCATTCAGTGGGGAAAACGCCGCTGGTACGTCCACCCCTCGCGGCTGAAGCCGTTTGTGACACCTCGCGCCCCTCCACCACACCACACAGGCCGAGCATGTGATGTGTCCGCTGACTCTGGGACGGCAACTCTGCCACCTGGCCCTGATGTATCACTAACTGTGCCATCTTCAGGTGCCCCGAGGATGACGGCCTCCAGGCCGCTTGCGCCACCCAGCGGGGATGAGGGCTCCCTCCCGGGACGTTGGGGGGTTGTGCACCCGCACGGACAGCGCCCACCGCCGGCACGGCCAGGTTTCTCCCCTACGATGGGCCCGCAAAACGGACTCGTGCTAAAACGTACCGGTTGTTGTGACTTCTTGTTGCACTTGTTATGTTCTTCCTTTTCTGCACGGATGGGTGGCTCGGGTTGAATGCGGGGGGGGGGGGGGGGAAGAATGTATATATATTGTACATAGTGAAATTTTGTATAGGTGGGCTTGGTTATTTGTTGGGGTGTTTGTTATTATGAGGCACGCACAGATGGGGTTTTGTTATATTTTTATTGTTGATGTTGTTACAGCCGGGACGGCTGCGAGTTGTACGGGAGGGGGTGATGTAGGGGTGTTGTGAAATGCAGAGGTACAGCCGATCCTTGTTGTGATCCTAGGTGGCTAAAACCACGTCCGCTTCTACAGCCCCGCCCAGTGGTTTGTGGGTATAAAGGGCGGGGAGTGAGAGAGCTCGGGGCAGAGTGTTGGGGCCAAGAATGAAGTACCAGGGAAGAAGGAAGACCAGCTAAGTAGAACCTTGGGACTCCCCTGACGCTGTCCTTCTCAGGATCGGCAGGGCAAGCCAGTGGTACGGCCCCAGGAGCCACAGAGCCGACGTCCTTCTAAGGGCCGGTCTGGTTGGTGGGGTGCCGTGATCTGCGCTTAACCAGGGCCAGATCAGACAGCCTCCCCTAGAGCCCTTAGCTGGAGGAACCGGGGAACATAGGCTTAGGCTAGATAGCCTAGGGGGATATTCCTAAGTGTATTTGGGTGAAGGGGCCGCTACCCCTTCAGTATGACCCCTTGTTATAAATAAATAAGTACTGCCTCTACTTTACCGTCTCCGTGTCACTGGAACCCACTACAAATGTAACACGTCGAGTTGGCAATGATCGTGTTTTAACATAGATGTGCACCTGTCTGCATAGCCAAACCATCATTGAAGACCCCAGCTGAGGTATGTACGTGTGTATGTTGGTTGCACCGTACGTAGCCAACCGTGCTAATCGGAAGTGCGGGGAAAGCACAACAGTGTAATAGCAAAATTTTATGACCCCACCCCAGTCCTATTGGCTGTGCTACTCAACGAACAGGAAGCTACTGTCAAACTTGTGTGGATCAATATGTAACAAACTACTCTGTACTCCTTCACGTAAACACTGAAGGATACAGACTAAGTTGCTGCTGGCTTCGTGCTCTGCTGCTCAATAAACCGGAACCAGTTAAACTCTACCCATTAAGGCAGCTTTCAGATCAAGACATTGCACCTACACCTACTTGGACAATAAAGAGAACAACAAAAAAACTGTCCCAGTATAAGTTACTCACGTCTTAGTAAAAGCAAAAAAGTTACACTTTTTAATGTGCGATGATAAGACGCCATTATTCGACTCCATCGTCGCATGGTATAAAAGTGTAAACCCGTTATCTTATTACCTTTAGAAAAAAATTGTACAACTGGACGCAGAGAAAAAAATATGCACAAAAAATACGCATACATGCGTTGTCATCATCGTCATCAGCTGGTGGTCCCCGTCCAACTTAATCTTCATCGCTACTGCTCCAGGAATCCTGGAAGCCACTGCGCTGCTTGCTTCCAGACTTCTGCATTGTGCACGAAAACAAAACACATTATTCAGCTCAAATACATTTGCTATCAACACAAAAAAGTAATTTTTATTACAAAAAACACCAAGTTCAAATGTATTTTATATGGCCGCATTTATGTGTGATAATTGTACGTAATAAAATGTTTAATCGGTAGTTTTCAAGTAATGGCGTTTATATATTTTGTGGTTTATTACATTCCGTAATCCCAAAATGACTAAATTTTGTGTCTCCACATAGGAATCATCATCCTCTCCTGGCAGACTAACATTTGCAGGTCAGGTACCAAGTCACCACCTTGTGATGCACAGGGACAGCTGCCACTGGGAGTGCCCTTACAAATGTGTTGAGATAGGATGTGATGTAAGTCACTTCATATGACGTAGGTAAAGTGCTCCGAGAGACCTCTGCAACAATGACACTCATCAAGCATACCTTCTAATTATTGTTTTGCAGTTCCAGTGACCCTAGAGGTGTCTCACCTTGTCTGTTTCTTCCTCCTCCGGTTGAGTCCTGCCCATGTTGGGCACCCAGACCAGGATGTTACTGTCATTACCGCCACTATACAGCTCCTGTGAAGTGCCAGACGTGAGCCATTGAGCATCTATACCTCTCGTCTGGGTTTCCATTCAGAAGCTTAAGAAATAACTCGGCTTATTTGAATCAAAATGTCGTTGTACGGGTTGAATAGATTGTCATTCCAATTACGGAATTGTTTCTCTTTGAACAGCAAAATACTGGTGTTCGGCAGGATGATGTATGCATTGTATTTACACTTGTGTCCTAATTACAAATGTAAATAGACATAATCAGTCACATGTGGCCTGATTTTGACATAAAACTTTCCCTGCATCCTAAATGCATTTATTTGACAAAATATAAAAAGTAATTTTTACACTGTTTACGAGTAAAACGTGTGTTTTTAGAAGGCCATACATATTTTTATTCATTCTCTGTTCCGAAAAAGTTCTAACTGGTATATAGCACTTGACAATGAGTGAAAACACCATGTGGCGGAGGTTCGTGACCTGTTGCCTTGTGCGACTTCGCATCGGAGCAGTGATAAACGGATGGGTACACATAGGCGGCCGAGTTGAGGCTTTTCTCACCTGGAAGTCTGAATAATATTCACAGCAGTTGACCTTGTTGTAGTGGCCACTGAGCTGGGTGTGTACCCGCCCGGAGTGGATCTCAAACGCAGTTACGTGACTGCCCATCGGAATAAACACGAGGTCCGGTGAGCAGTCTGCCGACATGGCGAACTTCACCCCTTTGCGGGAACCGTTGCTGACCCGGCCGTAGTTCACCTGTGGGAAAGTGAGGGTACGGGGCCAAGTTGTGAAGCCATAATGGGCCGACTGTGAAGACGCAACCACCATTGCGACCATATAAAAATGTGCTCCAACATTCTACTTTGCTCCGGCGCTATTCCAGCTCGCCTGTCAAGTCTGGCAATGGCAGCAACTCCACACCCAACTTTTGTTTCAGTACAAGCACTGGACATCCGTGGTTCGTCTCAAGAGGAATACTAAATGACACCAATTGCTCGAGATAAAACATGTCGCCTGTGCAAAAAAGTGTTGCATTACCAGAAGATTTGTGCCCGTGTCGGTCCTCCAGAGCTTTAGGCGGTCGTCTGTGCCCAGGGTGAGGAGGTGGAGCCCATCCTTGGTGAAGCAGAGCCCGTTGACGTGTCCGCCGTGCGATGTCTGCGCTGCAGATGTTCACAACGGCACCACACTTAGCAGGAAAACGGCCTCGCTCGTTCGTTTCTTATCCGCTTGTCCTGGTGAGGGTCGCGGAATCGTTAATGCGAAAATTATCCTTGTTATATGGCTCTCTGACGGTAATTCCTTGTTAGATTGTTACAAACGGGATAAGCTGTGTGTGCGGGCATGGAGTGGCCACGACGCTGGGTCTAACGTCCAATGTGGAGAAGACAGTGGGGGGCTTGCGTTCCTACTTCCGCTGCGGTCTCTGCTGCTCGAGGAATTGGAGCCTCCCCAGGCCTCGCCCTTGTGCTGATCCAGGGTGAGCAAACAGCCCGTGGCCTTCCTCACGTCCCACAACTTCGCACTGTTATCACGACTTGTGTTAAGCAGAACAAGCGTGAGAGAAATGTACACACACGACCACACAGAGTAATGAGACTTGTGTAACGACATTGATTAAAATTGATTATGCCCATAATACATGTAAATGCGCATGTAAGATTTTTGTTAAGAGTATTTTTTATCCCCATTTGTTGCATGTAATTAGTTCACTTTATCCTTGCAGCCACCGCACGGCATATTTCAATTTAAGTGGTTAACGGCAGCCATCATAAGAGATGCAGTTGTAAATAAATGCTGGACATGCAAATTGCATTATAGTCCATGGGCCATAGCAGAAATTGGTATCACATAAGCAGCAAAACTTTATTCTTACTCATTTATTTACACGGCATATAGGGGTGAATTACTTGCTAACCCCCACTCCATTCAAGTGGCTATCATTCTTGATTTGAAGCTTTCTTGACTGCAGGAATCCATACTGCTTGGTTCTTTCGGTAAAGTCTTGTAGGTATAAAATAAAATAAGTCACGACGTTTCGGGCGCAACACAAGCGTCCATCATCAGGTGGGAAAGCATGGTCTGCTGCTGAGGCAGACTGTTTAAAAAGGTTTTAAATGGGAGTAGCTCAAGGGTTATAAAAAAGTGGCCGGAGCTAGTGATGTAAATGTGAGAAATTAGCATGTAACTGTAAGATAGGAGAGCGGCCTCCTCGACAAGGACACAGAAGTGGCTATGTTAATGTGAGAGATTAGCATGATGTTAATGTGAGAAATTAGCATGTAACTGTAGAAAAGGAGAAGAGCGGCCTCCTCGACGATGGAGTGCAACCCAACGGGTGTAATCTGAATTGCCTGTGAGTATGAGAGTGCAATCCAAAGGCATGAGAGTGCAATGCAACGGACATGTGAGCATGAGAGATCTAAGAGAGAGGCATAGAGAGAGAGACAGAGTCGAAATAACAGCTGACATATGCAGGTTGGATGGAAACATCACAGTCAGTTAAGATTTTACCTGGTTAATAACGTCCTTCCAATGATTGCTCAGTTTGTACCCATCCTCTCGGTTGAAGTTGTGTCTGTATTTATATATCTGGATGGCTTCATGAACAAATCTCTGAAGGTAGCCGGTAGGTTTGCAGAGTACCTCCGTCTTGGAAAAATGGATTTCGTGAGCCCACAGCGTTAAAACAATGATCGGCAACGGCAGAGGTATTGGTCCTACCGTGTTTCAGATCCGCCTTTTGTTCACGGACGCAGTCTGACACATGTCGTTTCGTTTCCCCAATGTAACTCCTGCTGCAACCACAGCTCAGTTTGTAGAAACCAGGGTATTGCATGTCAGGAATCACATCTTTTCCAGATGGGATTAAATCACGGATTTTGCGTACTGTATTGAAACGAACCTGGATCTTGTGTTTGTTTTAAGATTTTGGAAATCTTTTTGGTAACCCCTGCTATGTACGGTAAAGTGATGGTTTTGGTTGTCTACAAACTGAGCTGTGGTTGCGGCAGCAGTTACATTGGGGAAACGAAACGACATGTGTCGGACCGCGTCCGTGAACACAAGGCGGATCTGAAACACGGTAGGACCAATACCTCTGCCGTTGCTGATCATTGTTTTAACGCTGTGGGCTCACACGAAATACATTTTTCCAAAACGGAGGTACTCTGCAAACCTACCGGCTACCTTCAAAGATTTGTTCATGAAATCATCCAGATATATAAACACAGACACAACTTCAACCGAGAGCATGAGTACAAACTGAGCAATCATTGGAAGGACGTTATTAACCAGGTAAAGTCTTAACTGACTGTGATGTTTCCATCCAACCTGCATATGTCAGCTGTTACTTCGACTCTTTGTGTCTATCTGTCTATGCCTCTCTCTTATATCTCTCATGCTCACATGTCCGTTGCATTGCACTCTCATGCCTTTGGATTGCACTCTCATGCTCACATGTCTTTTGGATTGCACTCTCATACTCACAGGCCCTTCGGATTACACCCGTTGGGTTGCACTCCCTCATCGAGGAGGCCGCTCTTCTCCTTTTATACAGTTACATGCTAACATTATGCTAATCTCACATTAACATAGCCACTTCGTCTAGGCGGCCGCTCTCCTAGCTTACTTTTACATGCTAATTTCTCACATTAATATCATGCTAATCCCTCACATTAACATAGCCATTTCTGTGCTCTCGTCGAGGAGGCTGCTCTCCTATCTTACAGTTACATGCTAATTTATCTCATTTACATCACTAGCCCCGGCCACTTCTTTATAACCCTTGAGCTACTCCCATTTCAAACCTTTTAAAACAGTCTGCCTCAGCAGCAAACCATGCTTTCCCACCTGATGGACGCTTGTGTTGCGCCCGAAATGTCGTGATTTATTTTATTTCATACCTACGTGACTTTACTTGAAAAAAAACAAAGAGTATGGTTATTTACTATTATTGGCCACGTAAAGAAATTGGAACTAGTAAAATTACGTGACCCCAAGTAGTATCGACAAGAGAAATATCCGCTCTGGGCTCATGGACTAATAAGGCACCAGTGGCATTCAAAAAGACAAGCATACGCACACAGGGCTGCAGCTTTATATATGTGCGAAAACCGATAATCGCTTTGCAAACTTTTTTGCATGTGATTATCTAGAATCCAGAAGAGGTTTTTTTTGTTGGGTTAGATCGCATAAATATAAATGTGTCATTAAACCCGCCAGCACGTGAAAGCCTAAATTTCGTTTTAAAGCTTTCGTGACTGCAGGGATTCATATTCTTGGTTCTTTCGGTAAAGTCACGTAGAAGGGAAAAAATAAATAAAAACAATTAAATTCTCACGACGTTTCGATTGCAACACAAGTAATCATCATCAGGTGTAGATGATTGCTTGTTATCCACATGAGGCTATCCACATATACAAACACAGACAATTTCAACCGAGAAGATGGATTCTGGCTTAGCAGTCATTGGAAGGATGTGATAAACCATTTCGGGTCTTGATTGATTTTGTTCACGCTTATGGTGACTTTCAGACCGCATTCCATTCTCGTTCTCTCCCCCCTCCTCTATTCCGAGCATAGATGGACTCGTCCGTCTGAACAACCGTTAGTCGCTGTCCGTGGTGCTAACGTTAAGAAAAAAAACCCACTTTTTTCTAAATTTTTGTTGCTGTGGTTTTCACACCTGATGATGATTGCTTGTGTTGCAATCGAAACGTCGTGATAATTTTTATTTTTTTATTTCCCTTCTACGTGACTTTACCGAAAGAACCAAGAATATGAAAGCCTATGTGTTAAACTTATTATCCATAATGCAATAAAACGAAATTAACAAATTATCAAAATGCGAAGGGAGCTAATTGAGACATGCTTAGTTGAGTATGCATTTGAAATCAAACACAAGTGATGCACTTGGCAGATTATTTTCAAACCCACATTGAGTTTAAGCTTCTCCTACTCGCGTTGTTGGCTTTAAAATAAGCTTGCTCCATCATATATCATCCAGGAGTTGATTCAGCCACAGACTCCACTGAGATCTCTCAGATCTATCGTTTGTACCCTAGTCAGCATAACCGCCGCTCCAGGCTTAGAATCTGGGGTGACCAACGAGCTTTTGTTTGTATGTCTGAAATTCCTCGCGGTCGATGGAGACTTTTAAGCCCTCGCTGAAGACGCATATTTTAAACCGCATCCTCTATTTCTCTTATCTTGTCTCTTTAGTCTTTCTCTACCTGGTTACTTCTCTCTCATTTTCTAATACATGCGTGGGGGTTTCCAGGATTCATTGTGCAAGGGCGCTGAATGTAAACAATTTTTAATTCAGTATGGTGCGGCATGCGCTCACTTGGCTGGTACCTTCCAGTAGCCAGGACAAACTCGTGCCGCGTCGACCAGCGAGCTGCAAGCACCGCGTTCCGGTGACCTGCAGGAAGAGCTGCAGTCAGCACCTGTGCCACTCCGCTACACTCCATGTTGTTACAGCAGGGATTAAGAACCCTTTTCCTTACTGAGAGCCAAAGAGGACTTTCCATTGCCTTTGGCAGGCAACCACTATTAACGCACACCACCAAGTTGCTTCTGTCACTACAAGAGGCCCTTACATTGACATTAGAAACATGGTGTTGCCAGGTCGAAATTATTGCCCTCCAGTAACCAATTCGTATGGCTAAGATCCTAACGGTGATGGATAAATATTGTTTGGTGGCCATTTTGAAAAGGTAGGTCTCGTGAAGCCGCGGACCGTACCAAGTAATGACATAGGCTGTGGCTGGCCCGTGGGCTATAAGAAACCTCACCCCTGCCCTATAGTGGTGAAGCCAACCATTATGGGTGCTCTCAAGACAGCAAAAACAGCTCTCACCGTTCAGGATGTGAGTGCTCGAGCCCGTTCTCAGGTCACACAGCTGCACTTTGCTGCCACTGGTTCCAACTTGAGTCATCAGGGAGCAAAACGAGAGCAGAATTTAAATACAAGCGTTTTTTTACTGTTTAATTATTAGTTATCAGGGTTTATTGAAACATGGTTGGGATCATATTATTTAAAAAGTAAAACTTGTCAAATTATTTGGCATAAACCCAAGTTATACTACATTTAAATCTTACCTGCAATTAGGGAGTGCTGCGTTGCAATTGGAGACATATGGTGACAATAAACCTTTTCCGAAAATGTGTAAATTTCTGCAGGCTGTATGAAGAAACCCACCAGCGGCAGTATGCAAAACAAAAACAAATTATTAAAATACATCCTTGTTCACGTCAGCGGTATAATTTTACACTCGATATATCTCATCAAACACGTACTACAAATTCCGAGTAAAGTACATCATTCTTTTCGCAATATTCCAGCGAAGAGCCAATGAGAAGTTGCAGGAGTAGTCTACTGCATGGGTCACACTGCTATTTAAGCAATTTTTTTTATTTTACCAGGTAAAGCCCACTTGGCTATATAGCTCTTTTTCAGAAGCAAACTGGCCACAAATGATAGCTCAACGAAGTGGCTTATCACGTGGAAATCTATAGCAGCCAAATACTCTAAACGCATGTTTCTAAATGTGGAGAGAAAAACTAAAGGACTCGGAGACAAAGTCACGCGACCATGGGGACATAATGGAAACTCCAAATATACAGGCGTCAGGGTTGAGATGAAACCCACGACCTCCTGTATGCCAGGCAAGGTAGTTAACATCTTGCCAGTGGCGCTCACGGCGGTGAGATGTGTTCTCACCTCCAAAGCATTGGTGTCCCATGCCTTGAGTGTCTTGTCAAAGGAGCTCGACAGAAACATTCCTGTGTCGTGGGTGTACCACTGCACCGTCTCCACACTGTACTGGTGCACATGTGCATGGGACCTGCAATACCAGGTACAAGTGCTCTTGACAACAATACAATGTGATTGTGACTGCATCTAAAGATGCTGCACAGAAAAGCATATGCACATTCATAGTTCTAAGGCCAAGTAGGGAGTTATAGAGAGGGGGAATGTATGCATGTACAGTGAGGGAAAAAAGTATTTGATCCCCTGCTGATTTTGTACGTTTGCCCAATGACAAAGAAATGCTCAGTCTATTATTTTAATGGTAGGTTTATTTGAACAGTGAGAGACAGAATAACAAGAACATCCAGAAAAACGCATGTCAAAAATGTTATAAATTGATTTGCATTTTAATTAGGGAAATAAGTAATTGATCCCCTCAATCAGAAAGATTTCTAGCTCCCAGGTGTATTTTATACAGGTAACGGGCTGAGATTAGGAGCACACTCTTAAAGGGAGTGCTCCTAATCTCAGCTTGTTACCTGTATAAAAGACACCTGTCCACAGAAGCAATCAATCAATCAGATTCCAAACTCTCCATCATGGCCAAGACCAAAGAGCTCTCCAAGGATGTCAGGGACAAGATTGTAGACCTACACAAGGCTGGAATGGGCTACAAGACCATTGCCAAGCAGCTTGGTGAGAAGGTGACAACAATTGGTGTGATTATTCGCAAATGGAAGAAACACAAAAGAACTGTCAATCTCCCTCGGCCTGGGGCTCCATGCAAGATCTCACCTCGTGGAGTTGCAATGATCATGAGAACGGTGAGGAATCAGCCCAGAACTACACAGGAGGATCTTGTCAATGATCTCAAGGCAGCTGGGACCATAGTCACCAAGAAAACAATTGGTAACAGACTACGCCGTGAAGGACTGAAATTCTGCAGCGCCCGCAAGGTCCCCCTGCTCAAGAAAGCACATATACGTGCCCGTCTGACGTTTGCCAATGAGCATCTGAATGATTCAGAGGACAACTGGGTGAAAGTGTTGTGGTCAGATGAGACCAAAATGGAGCTCTTTGGCATCAACTCAACTCGCCGTGTTTGGAGGAGGAGGAATGCTGCCTATGACCCCAAGAACACCATCCCCACCATCAAACATGGGGGTGTTTTTCTGCTAAGGGGACAGGACAACTTCACCGTATCAAAGGGACGATGGACGGGGCCATGTACCATCAAATCTTGGGTGAGAACCTCCTTCCCTCAGCCAGGGCATTGAAAATGGGTCGTGGATGGGTATTCTAGCAGGACAATGACCCAAAACACATGGCCAAGGCAACAAAGGAGTGGCTCAAGAAGAAGCACATTAAGGTCCTGGAGTGGCCTAGCCAGTCTCCAGACCTTAATCCCATAGAAAATCTGTGGAGGGAGCTGAAGGTTCGAGTTGCCAAACGTCAGCCTCGAAACCTTAATGACTTGGAGAAGATCTGCAATGAGGAGTGGGACAAAATCCCTCCTGAGATTTGTGCAAACCTGGTGGCCAACTACAAGAAACGTCTGACCTCTGTGATTGCCAACAAGGGTTTTGCCACCAAGTATTAAGTCATGTTTTGCAGAGGGGTCAAATACTTATTTCCCTCATTAAAATGCAAATCAATTTATAACATTTTTGACATGCGTTTTTCGGTATTTTTGTTGTTGTTATTCTGTCTCTCACTGTTCAAATAAACCTACCATTAAAATTATAGACTGATAATTTCTTTGTCAGTGGGCAAATGTACAAAATCAGCCGGGGATCAAATGCTTTTTTTCCCTCACTGTATGCATGTACAACTTCTTTCGCACCGTACGTAGCCAACCGTGGAAGGAATAGGACTTACATGCAGAACATTATTGAAGGAAATTATCACTCAGGCAGAGGAGAACAGGGACGCCTTCATGAACAGGGAGATGATATCAGCAACGTGTAGTGCAGCCAACGACTATCCTACCACCTGACGAATAGATAATTATGAATCTTTTTACCAATTAAAAATGATTAAAAATACTAACAATTATACACAATTTATGCAACTTGCAAAGAACGGTAAGATGCCTACTAGGAAATACAATAACATAATTTAGTCACCTGCCCACTGTGCAGATGGCCTTGCATGTGTATTGAGGTTTCTGGGAGACATTCTCCAGGTTGTAGATGGCAATCACTCCATCAGCTCCTCCAGAGAGCATACTGTTGTGCACAAAAATTAATCCACAGCCACTTCATTCACAAAGACAGCAACACGCAGGTACTACCACCGGCTTTCATTATTCTCTGGAAAGCATTGCATATATGCATGTATATTCTTAGTTCTTTCGGTAAAGTCACGTTGAAGGGAAACAATAAAATAATAAAATATATATAAAACAATAAAAATTCTCAAGACGTTTCGACCATAACACAAACGGTCGTCTTCAGGTGTGTCGGTTTGCATAAATTTATTTATTTTTAAACGGTGTATTTATTTATTTATAAAAAAAACGTTAGCGCCACACGCAGCGATTTGGCAGTTTATTTAGGACTAGTCCATCTATGTTCTGAAAAGAGGAAGGGGGAGACGAATTTTTTTTTTAATGTATGCTGTCTGAAAGCCACTGTAAGCGTGAACAATCAGTTAAGACCTGAAATGGTTTATCAAATCTTTCCAATGATTGCTAAGCCAGAATCCATCTTCTCGGTTGAAATTGTCTCTGTGCTTGTATATGTGGATAGCCTCATGAACGAATCTCTCATGGTAGCCAGATGGCTTACAAAGAACCTCTGTCTTGGAAAAGTCAATGTCATGTGAGCCTACTGAATTATAACAATGATCTGCCACGGCCGAGGTGTTGGTCCTACCGTGTTTAAGGTCTGCTTTGTGTTCACGAATGCGGTCCGAGACATGGCGTTTGGTTTCTCCAATGTAACTTCTACCACAGAGGCAACTTAGTTTGTAGACACCAGGGTATTGTATGTCCGGAATCACATGGTTCATCAAGGACTAAACACTGAGGTACCCCCCCTGGTGAGACACTGTTTAACCAATACATACTTCACTTGGAATGGAACTTTCTACAAACAAACTGAGGGCACCCCAATGGGCTCCCCCCATCTCCGGTTATAGCTAACATTTTCATGGAGAAATTTGAGACTGACGCCATCCAGACTGCCACTCTGCGCCCAACCTTATGGAAGAGGTACGTGGATGACACTTTTGTCATCTGGCCACATGGCCGGCCTGCTCTAGACCAATTCTTCGACCACATCAATTCCATACACCCAGCCATCAGATTTACCATGGAAGTAGAAATAGATGGCAAGCTACCTTTTTTGGATGTCCTAATTAAAAAGAGACCTGATGGTTCAATGAGCCACTCTGTCTACAGGAAAGCTACCCATACGCATGCTTATCTGAAACCGGATTCCCACCACCATCCATCACAGAAGAATTCTCTCATCAAGACTCTGTATCATAGAGCCCAATGCATATCCGACCAGGAACACATAGGCAGTGAACTCAAGCACGTACACCAAGCTCTTAAGGCTAATCGTTACTCCGACTATACAATCCGCAAAGCTATCACTCAAACCATGAAGAAGGACCCTCTTGAGGAGCCTTTCAAAACCATCACTTTACCCTACATTGCGGGGATCACAAAAAAGATCTCCAAAATCTTGAATAAACACAAGATCCAGGTCCGTTTCAACACATTACATAAAATCCGTGATCTGGTTCCGTCTGTAAAATATGTGATTCCGGACATACAATACCCTGGTGTCTACAAACTAAGTTGCCTCTGGTAGTAGTTACATTGGAGAAACCAAACGCCATGTCTCGGACCGCATTCGTGAACACAAAGCAGACCTTAAACGCGGTAGGACCAACACCTCGGCCGTGGCAGATCATTGTTATAATTCAGTAGGCTCACATGACATTGACTTTTCCAAGACAGAGGTTCTTTGTAAGCCATCTGGCTACCATGAGAGATTCGTTCATGAGGCTATCCACATATACAAGCACAGAGACAATTTCAACCGAGAAGATGGATTCTGGCTTAGCAATCATTGGAAAGATTTGGTAAACCATTTCAGGTCTTAATTGATTGTTCACGCTTACAGTGGCTTTCAGACAGCATACATTAAAACAAATTTCGTCTCCCCCCTCCTCTTTTCAGAACATAGATGGACTAGTCCTAAATAAACTGCAAATCGCTGCGCGTGGCGATAACGTTTTTTTTTATAAATAAATAAATACACCGTTTAAAAATAAATAAATTTATGCAAACCGACACACCTGAAGACGACCGTTTGTGTTATGCTCGAAACGTCGTGGGAATTTTTATTGTTTTTTATATTTTATTTTATTGTTTCCCTTCAAAGTTACTTTACCGAAAGAACTAAGAATATGAATTACTGCAGTCACGAAAGCTTTAAATCAAAATTTATATGCATGTATGTTGAACTTCTTTCGCACCGTACGTTGCCAACCATGATAATTGGAGGTGCAGTGGAAGGACAACTAAACACAAAAAGCAGCTCTAAAGAAATGGGTTTTCAACCTTGATTTAAATGTGCATAGCTCCAATGGCTTCCTAATCTCGGACGGAAGTGTTCCAAACGGCCGCAGAAGCGCATCCGAAAGTACGCGATGCAGTGACCGCCTTTGTTCGATGGCTAACCATGGCTCGATGGTTAGCCATCGCTAGCCATCGAACAGGCTACTACCAGGCTACACCGTCCGCTAGCTCAACCACCAAACCTCAATGTGAAAATAAAAAAATTGCTGATCAACTCCTTTATAGTTGGGGAAGTGCTGACGCTATGCCTGTTATACAGCATTTTGGAGAAAAGGGTTGGTGGATCGCAGATGATGCGAGACTCACTTCCCGTGGGCGTCGAGGTGCCATACTGTGGCTTGCCAAACTAAAAACTCAGCAATGTTTTTATTTTACCAGGTAAAGCCCACTGAGCTATATAGCAATTTTTCAGAAGCGACCTGGTCAAAAATGATAAATACTCTAAAGGCAGTACAGCAAACCCACACTTGACACGTTACTATATACGACTACAGAGCTTGGGCAATTATTGGCGCTGGCTCACTGCGCGGCTGCCTTCCTGCTTGTCTGTGGTTCCTCATGCCTCCGACTAGTTTTCTGTCTTTAAGAGTGTGTGTAATACTGATTGGCGTGTTACAAGATGGACTTATTATTATACAAAAGAACACGCATGTTAGGCGACAATTTACATGCTGCTGGTGTGGCCACGCACTACTTATTTTCTGCTTGGTCGATGTCGAGGACATTGACGCCACTGCTGTGCACGCACTCCACGTCCCGCTCACTGCTCAGCTCCAGGTTGAACACCCTGCACAGCTCACAATCATGCAAAGACAAAGATCCCCTGTATAGCCTAAACAGACTGTTGGGGCAAGTGCTGTTAGTGAGCACCTATGAAGGCCGACACGGCACACGAGGAGGTGGGTAGCCAGCACCACGCACGGTGGCCTTTAGATCCCCAGTGGTGATGTTTACACATCACACAGGTACTCATTTAAGACTGAGTTAATCTCAGAGAGGCCCAGGACCGGTTCAGATAATCGTCACTGGTGTTGGCCGTTAGCGGGAATCGAAATCGTGTTGCCGGGTTCGTATTGCAGCGTGTGAACCGCTACACTACTGCTCGCCATCATGCACACACAAAAGGAACCTGGCACTCATGGGAGAAATCTCAAGCAGTACAACCCTTGCATGGATTATGCTGAGGATCTCTCTCATTCTCATTTGCCATGTTCTTCTCAAAGATGTCTGCAATCATGGCCTTCCATTTAGCTCTTTCCGTGATATTTACTGAAGATACTCCCATTTATATCCAATTGCTTATGTACTTAATTCACCATCATTTCCCCAATCAAAACATATTTAGTCTGCCGTTCTCTCATTATTTATTCTTATTCTCTTTCTATCTTAAATACATGTATTTCTCATGTTGTCTATTCCAGATGGGTTTTTTACAGCCTTCTAAAATAACACATTTCTGCTGCTTCTAGTTTGCTTCGGGGCTTTGTAACTGTCCAGCTTTCACATCCACATAGGAAAACAAACTATAGTATACTCTCGATTATCCATGCTAATGACGGGGAGGACAGACGTGGATAATTCAAAATCGCGGATAATGCAAAAATATACACTTTCTGCTGATCTCTATGACAAAAACTAACGATCAATGATGCGCGTGCAGTGATTACTTTGCTGCTCCCGCCCAGAAGAGTCCGCCCACTAAGTGGATAGCAGAGCCACGGCAATCAACATCAAACTCTGCCCGCTGTTGTAAAGATGTATAACGACTGTACTGTAGAGGCGATCACGTGAATTTCGGAATAACCGGAGCAAATATTTGTTTGATTTAAATATTTTACTTGAAATAAGCATTTCCAAGAATATTTTTAATGTTATTTATTTGGGCTTAAGGGAACATCCTTGAGTTATTAATTGATATCAAAATTTCAGGTGCGTAGTTACTCCACAAATTAGATAAACCTCACGTGGACAATCGAATCTACTGTACACGTCCGCTGAGGATAAGGCCCCTTAAAATTACGTGGTCATGAAGTGCCCCCTCTGTGGTATAAAGGGTCCAACTCTCTATTGCGTTGAGCCCCCCTCTACTATATTGTGCAGCAGTCACCTCGATTGGGTCATCAGGCAGCACCCCACCTTGAGGTCTTGTGACAGGGAGCCTCACTCTTTTGACATTAAGAGCCCAACACTGTGGGTCATAAGGACCCCCCTTCCACTAGATTAATAGATCTCATCCTGGACCATTGATCTCCCGATAGGGGTAAGAGCCGCTCTCTCCATCGTGTCACGAGACGCCATCCGACCGCCCCCCCCGCATGAAATGGGACATCAAGGTCTCCCCTTCTCCCTTCTGTCACTGATCTCCCCTCCTCACGCACTCGGCAAGTCTCACCCTATCACGGCTGAGGTACTGACTTATCTCACGGATTCTCAACACTTTCGGATTCTCACACTCCAATAATCTCACACAGCAGCACCAGCATTCACTCGTACCTCCTTACTCTTGCGCAATCACCCCACAATCTCGCAATGACCACGGCATTCTCAATCACGCGCAAAACAATCACTAAATCTTACGCATTCGCATCTGTCTTAAGGAAAGGCCACCAATCCTCGAAGTCACTGGCGTGGCCATCAACCGCATCAGAACATCCACAGGTTCATGTACACATCTCCATGAATGGAAAATGTAAAAAACCACCGGGCAATTGTGGCCCATGAAACCCCAATGGACCCTATAGCAAAACTACTGTACTCCGCACTTTCAACGAAAAGCAAAAATTACACCGACCTCTCTACCGAATAACCTCTCATCATGTCTAGCAGAGCCTTAACGATTGACATCTATCTGCTGGACACACTGCTGATGCCTTGCTGCCGCAAGCAAGAAAACAGAGCCCCCCCCCCACACGCCCGTGCCGCACCTTCGCGTGGACTCGGCGACGCGCAGCCTGGGCGGCTCGTCCGCTCCGTTGCGCCGCGACGACAGGAGACCCAACATGACTCATAGCATCAACGCAACTATAATAACGAAGCCACTGGTGTTGTAGCAGCAGTGATAATAACAATGACGCCCCCCAAGACAGTGGTAACGATATCGCGCTACTTCGGCCTACTTCAGGCTTCTCCCCCCGCTCAGGCCGCACCGAGGCCCAGGTCGCGGAGGCCCCGGCCCATGAATGAGGCGGCTCGGCATCGCCGACCGACCTCCATGCAATCGATTAAATCAATTACCCCCCCCCCTCAACGATTGATCAATCGAAAACTCGCGCATCCGTCTGTTGAGCGTGGTAATCGAGGATTCTACCCACAGGGTAAACCCGTATGCACCAGAACGTGAGTTGCTACATAGGGCGAAAGTTGTGCGCGGTGCCAATAAAGTTATACAATTGTGGGTCTCTCTCCCACAAACCGCAGCTAATAAAGTTGAAAACATTGCGGTCACACAAAACTACCGGATTATAAGACGCACCCAACAAAGGTATACGATTCCAGTCACACACAACTACCGGATTATAAGACGCACCCAACAAAGTTGTACATTTCTGGTCACCCACGTACACACCTACCATATAACACGTACTCAATAAAGTTATAAAATTCGGGTCCCATACCCGTACCGGATTATAAGACGCACCCAATAACGTTTGACAATTTAAGTCGCACCAATACCCGGCCATTCGCCACGAAGTGACGGTGACGTCACCACGGCGTCTGTGCCAGGCTAGGTGCACTTTGAGGCCACATGAAGTGTCGAAGGCTCGCTGACCAGGAGGTCTCGGGACAGACCCAGCAGGTGCCATCGGCTGGTTGACTGAAATGACCGGGAGATGCACCAGCTGTGCCAACTCGCTGAATTGTATCCGTCCGGCGCTCCGCTCGCTGTTATGAGCGTCGCTCCCCTGCCCTCAGTTGTTGATGGAGGGTGACTGCCCCCAACTGCCCAGCAGCGTACTTCACGAGCCTCCTCCAAAGAGTCACACGAACCTATCCGATTATAAACCACACCCAATAAAGTCACGTAGATAGAATACAAAATATAATTAAAATAATCAAAGTGAGCGTACTGACAGTCTTTTATGTAGACTGTAGCCTGGTAGACTGCAGCCTGTTTTTTTATGCTGGTGAGCCTATTGGCAGTCTATAATGTAGACTGTAGCAATGGTTATAAAACTGAACCTGAGTGAGCGTAATGGCAGTCTATAATGTTGACTTATTCGGGTTCTTTCAGTGACAAAAATGAAATAGAAATACATTATTATTTTTCTATCCATGTGTCTTTACCGAAAGAACAAAATAATATGAATTCCTGCAATCACGAAAGTTTTAAGTCAAAATGTACACGTGCCTGTTTTTAAGACACATCGAATAAAGTTATACTGTACAAACATGCTCTTTGGTTTCTTCGGTAAAGTCACAAAATAAATCATGACGTTTCGGGCGCAACACAAGCGTCCGTCATCAGGTAAGAAATCATGATCTGTTGCTGAGGCAGACTGTTTTAAAAAGGTTTGAAATGGGTGTAGCCCAAGGGTCATAAAGAAGTGGGCGGGGCTAGTGATGTTAACGTGAGAAATTAGCATGTAAATGTAAGATCGGAGAGTGGCCTTCAATAGGCAAGAGCGTCAATGCAAGAGAACCACCGCAACAGTGGCCATGCCAGTGAGACACACAGCCCATAACACAGTAAGAACCAACGATACATCGAGGCAAAGGGAGCAGAAGTGGCCATGTTAATGAGACCCAGCCCGTTAATGCAAAGGCATCCCACAGGGCAATGCAACTCAGAGAGTCAGAGATAACAGCCAAACGGCAGGAAGGATGGAAGCATCACTGCGAGTTATGACTTTATCTGGTTAATAACGTCCTGCAATTGTGAGAGATGGACTATAGGGCATGTGAGCATGAGCGTGTAATCCAAAGGACATGTGAGCATAATAGTGCAATCCAAAGGACATGTGAGCATGAGAGTGCAATCCAAAGGCATGAGAGTGCAATGCAAAGGACGTGAGCATGAGAGATCTAAGAGAGAGGCATAGAGAGAGAGACACACACACACAGAGTCGGAAATAACAGCTGACATAGGCAGGTAGGATGGAAACAAAAACAGTCAGTTAAGACTTTACCTGGTTAATAACGTCCTTCCAATGATTGCTCAGTTTGTACCCATCTTCTCGGTTGAAGTTGTGTCTGTGTTTATATATCTGGATGGCTTCATGAATACATCTCTGAAGGTAGCCGATAGGTTTGCAGAGTACCTCCATCTTGGAAAAATCGATTTCGTGTGAACCCACAGCCTCAAAACAATGATCAGCAACGGCAGAGGTATTGGTCCTCCCATGTTTCAGATCTGCCTTGTGTTCACGAACCTGGTCCGAGACATGTCGTTTCGTTTCCCCAATGTAACTGCTGCCGCAACCACAACTCAGTTTGTCGACACCAGGGTATTGCATGTCAGGAATCACATCCTTTACAGATGGGATTAAATCACGGATTTTGTGTACTGTGTTGAAATTAACCCGGATCTTGTGTTTGTTTAAGATTTAGGAAATATTTTTGGTAACCCCTGCTATGTATGGTAAAGTGATGGTTTTGGTTGAATCCTCAGAAGGTTGTCTCCCCATGGCTGGGGAGACAGCTTTGCGGATTGTACGGTCCGAGTATCCGTTCATCCTGAGGGCTTGGTGTACATGCTTCAACTCACTGGCTAGGTGGTGCCTGTTGGAGATGCAACGGGCCCTATGGTGTAGTGTTTTGATGAGCGAATTCTTCTCGGCTTGATGGTAGTGGGAGTCAGGCTTTAGATAGGCATCCGTGTGGGTGGCTTTCCTGTAGACCGAATGTCCCGACGAGCCATCAGGTATCTTCTCGATCAAAACATCCAGGAATGGTAGCTTGCCATCCTTTTCCACTTCCATGGTGAATTTGATAGACGGGTGTATGGAATTGATGTGGTTGAGAAATTGGTTCAGTGCTAGCAGGTCATGTGGCCAGATGACGAACGTGTCATCTACGTATCGCACAAGGAAGGACGTAGGGTGGATGTCTGGATGGTATCTGTCTCAAATTTCTCCATGAAAACATCCGCTACCACTGGCGATAAGGGAGGTTCCATTGGCATACCCTCATTTTGTTTGTAGAATGTACCATTCCAGGTGAAGTATGTGTTTGTAAGGCAGTGCCTTACCAAAGTTGGTACATCTGGATTCAGTCCTTGTTGGACCAAGTCTTCAATGATTGCAATGGTGTCAGGTACAGGTACATTGGTGAACAGAGAGACTACATCGAAACTGACAAGCAAATCATCTGGAGACAGTGAGATGTCCTTAATTAGAGAAACCAAGTGAGCTGAGTTAGTACAGCTGATGTGTTATTAACCAGGTAAAGTCATAACTCGCTGTGATGCTTCCATCCTTCCTGCCATTTGGCTGTTATCTCCGACTCTCTGAGTTGCATTGCCCTGTGGGATGCTTTTGCATTAACTGGCTGGGGTCTCATTAACATGGTCACTTCTGCTCCCTCAGCCTCGATGTATAGTTGGTTCTTACTGTGTTATGAGCTGTGTATATTACTGGCATGGCCACTGTTGCGGTGGTTCTCTTTCGTTGACGCTCTTGCCTCGTGGAGGCCACTCTTCGATCTTACATTAACATGCTAATCTTTCACATTAACATAGCCACTTCCGTGCCCTCGTTGAGGAGGCCGCTCTCCGATCTTCCATTTACATGCTAATTTCACATCACTAGCCCCACCCACTTCTTTATTACCCTTGGGCTACACCCATTTCAAACCTTTTTAAAACAGTCTGCCTCAGCAGCAGATCATGCTTTCTCACCTTATGACGGACGCTTGTGTTGCGCCCAAAACGCCCTGATTTATTTTATACCTATGTAGGGGTGCTATGGGGAATAAACACATGGCACGGGAAGGTGTGGTTCACCCACACCTTGGTGGCTACAACAACGTCCGCTAAGGCTCCAGTGGGTATAAAGTGCGGGGAGCCAGGGAGCTCGGGGCAGAGTGTGGGGCCCGAGGCTGAAGCAACCAGTGAAGAAAGAAGGCCAGCTAGGTGAGACCCTGGAACTCCTGTGACCGCTGCCCTTTTCAGGGCCGGCACAGCAAGTCAGTGGTGCGGCCCCAGAGCCCCAGAGTCAGAGTCCTTCTAAGGGCCGGTCTGGTCGGCGGGGTGCCGAGATCTGTGCCTAACCAGGGCCGGATCTGATAGCCTCCCTTAGAGCCCTACCAGGAGGAACTGGGAGCCTAGAGCTTAGGCTAGAGAGCCTGGGGTGTGTTCCTGAGTTATACGGGTGGAGGGGCCGCTACCCCTTCTAGTGTAACCCTTGTTAAGGTTTAAATAAATAGTGCTGCTTCTATTCTGCCGTCTCCGTGTCCTGGAACCCACTACACCTACGTGACTTTACCGAAAGAACCAAAGAGTATGGATTCCTGCAGTCACGAAAGCTTCAAATCAACGGATTATAAGACGCTCCCAATAAAGCTGTACAATTTTGATGCCCTGTGCACACAACTACCGAACTGTAAGACACACACTCGGTAAAGTTACACATATTGTCACAAACGCACCCACCCGATTATAAGACGCACTCAATAAAGTAATTCAAATATGGCCATGCACGCATCTCATGGCTTATCAGACGCAGCGAGTAAAGGCATGGAATTCCGATCACACACACACCTGCCAGATTATAAGACGCACCCGATCAAGTTGTACAAATAAGGCCATCGTGTTATTCACGAACGCGTTGATGTTTTTCACAACATGGATAACTGAATCAAACTCACGATGTTGGAATTGTGGAATTTCATAGACTCGTTATATGCCTCCAGAGTAGTATACTGACTCAGATGAAACGATTAAGAGGGGAGAAATAGACGTGGGAACACAGTACACCACAACAATAGATTGCTCTGCATGGTTGAGCATCCTGTATGGGGCCCGCAAGCTCCATGCCAGCTTGTTTGTACAATGCATGGTCACCTATCCAGAGTAGTATCCAGGTTCAACTCTGCTTAGCTTCCTGAGACTGGGTATATTCAAGGTGATATTATCACCAGAGTTGCACCAAAACTGATAAAATCGTTAAATGAAATGTGAATATGGATTGTATTGAACGGAGTTAAATCATTACAATGGTCGACAGTTACATCTTTACACATACCTTACTCTTTGGTTCTTTCGGTAAAGTCACCGAGGTAGAAAAAATAATATATCACGACGTTTCGATCGCAACACAAGCAATCGTCATCAGGTGAGACAACTACAGCAAGTAAACTGCTGAAGTAGTACTTGCGGAAAAACAAGGGGCTCACGATTGGAAAGGTTGCGAGTTGCAGACCTGGTTGGGGATGAGAATTGAATCAGCCTATCATACCTCCGAAG